TACCGCTTAGCAGTGAATGAAAGATGGTTTCATATCATTTTGGGGTTCTTGTCTGCATCAATGTATCTTCTGTCACAGACTCTGTGTGATTGAGGAGGAGAGGGAGGAAGATGAGGGAAATTTCAGCAGCCGAGAGATTGAACGTTATGGCAAGAGGAAGAAAGCTTCTTCAATTCAACTCACTTTTTATACATTCATGTATTTACATGTCAGTCAAAACCGCTCTGAACTTATTATAACTAGTACATGCACTGCTAAACACAGGTTATACAGAGTTTGATTGGTTAAATGCTGCTGCTTCAAGGTGAAAAGCATAATTTAGAGAGATTTAAAGAGTTTTTAGCAGAATTCCACTACTTTTTTGGTTTGACACTAGTTATGATTTTTTTAATGCAAATGAAGACAGCGCAGTGTGTTTGGTGCCCTTTTATTTCCCCTCCGGTTGAATAAATAATGGTTAACTCATCTTTTCCATAATATGAAGTATTGTGAGGAGAAACCCCTTCTTTGACAGTAGACAGTGGTCGAATTACATAGGGGATGAATATATGTTAATGTCTCTTTTCTATGTGCCCACATGACGAGCAGTTTGCAGTCCTGCTAAAGGACCTTCACCAACTCACCGAGGCCAACAGCAGTGGCCAAAACAACACACAGCGTTCTGAAAAGCCACTCATCAACAGCTACTGAATCAAAAAGATTCAAAGTTGCGATATAACATTTTTGTGAAAAGGTCGCAGCACCTGTAAGTCTATTTTATGAACCTATTTCAAACAGGATATGAAACCTACATGATTTGCCATGTTGAAAACTGCAACTTGAAAACTTTTTCTGATGAATAAAGGAAAGGAAGTTTTTCTCTCAGAACATTTTGTGTTAATATTCACAAATTCATCGAATACCTTTTTAAACTTCTAGTGTTGTTCCTACTTGTAATAACAACTTGCAGCAGATTAACTCATTTAATTCAATTGGACTGGGTGTAAATATGAATAAGCATGCCACCATCAAGAGTTGTACCTTCCCATTTCCTCTTTCATCACCTCTTCCAGACCATTTTTTGACACTTTGTGAATAAGTGCCACGCCGATGCAGTTTCCAAAGACATTAACAACGTGTTGCAAGGCTTTCTGAAAGAAAGAGACAACAGACTATGGCAGCAGAGGATATATGCTGCTTTACACAGCTCTTTTAACACTAAACTAATATAAGTGGCTGTTGTATAGCTGACCAAATAAATCAACAGGATCTTTGTTAGCTTGCTAATATATGACTAATTTAGCATTAATACATACTAATAAACAATACAAAGGGAGGAAATACTTATCCGACGTGACACTCAAATGTCGTTAAGAACTTAAACTTCAATAGTTTAAATCACATATAACAACAATTACAAAATTTGCCTCAAATTCCAAATTGTTATGTTAAGAATGTCTGATTGAAATAGAAATAACATCAGCTCACATGGCTTAGCATGGTCTATACGGAATTCTAAACTTAATTGATGAATTAAGTTAAAACACATTCATACACAACCAGAATATACAGTAAGTTAAATAAAACAAAGTGACACCTACATTTACTAAGCATTGGCCTAAAACTTTTAGATTTTAGAAAGATATGCCACTTTGTGATGATGCAGTTTACACCATTGAATGCTTTTGATTGGACAGGACGCCGCGTGTTATCCTTAATCGTCCTTATTGTACATCAGCAATTTGGTAAACTTCTCGTTTGAAACTAAACAATAGAGGTCAGCAAGCTCAACTTACATGAGCCAATCGATAACAACAAGAATGGCGGCGCCCTCTGCTGGTAAACCAACTGCCCTCAAAACAAAGAAGGTGGTCAAGAACCATGTAGATGACAGGGTTCATACACATTTTGGCCAGTGGATTTCCATGACTTTTCCATGACTTCAAACAAAATTTCCATGACCAAATAAGTGTGAAATCTCAGTGTATACATGAAAAAGTGAGAAAATGTAGTATTTAAACTAACAATGAGAATACCAAAGCATACAGTGTTTCCCCCACCATTCAGTTCGGTCTCAAGATGTTATAATTATACAATTATTCACTATGGATGAGTATCGTTTGGGGTTTTCCTGATACCAGTGCTAAAACGATACATACCGGTGCCTAAAACAATACTTGTTTTCCATTATTTTGCTTCAAATTATGGACAATACATGAACTGTTAACAGTTTACAGTAGACATATACACTTCATTGGAATTTTGGGAATATTCATCATTTAATTTATGGTCATTGTGCAGGAACTAAAGATATGTACAGTAACTTGTATTGAACGCATTTATGTTGGATTGACACTCCTTGTGTGTCTCCATGTATTGACGTTGTGATTGCAGTAGGTGCAACACAGAAGAGCTGCATTAGGCACAACAGCATATCTGCCGTTTATCTGCCGTGTGACAGAATATAGTAATTGTATATTATGTTGACGCATTGCAGCATAAAATAAACACAAAACGAAAAGAATCAAATGATCTTCTGTCATTTGTGCTGCGAGTATCAGCGTCCTGCGTCTCTTTAAAACCATATGAATGATTTCAAACGTAATCTTAAATGAACCACATGACCATAGAAATATAACAGATTTCCATGACTTTTCCAGGCCTGGAAATGACCATTTTGAAATTCCATGACTATTCCAGGTTTTCCATGACCGTACGAACCCTGAGATGAGATCCCCTCTGTTCCTGCTATCACAGCTGCTAATACACTGCAGATAAAACAAACATATTCAGAAAGATGTACCATGCATTGATTTATCCACGGCAACGGAGCACCTGGGTTCATTAACGAGCTGCGTTGCGAGGACCCTAATAATAATAATAATTCCTTGAAATACAATAGGTTCCTCTACGACTAGTCATTGTGAGGACCCTAATAATTCCTTGAAATACAATAGGTTCCTCTACGACTAGTCGTTGCGAGGATTCTAATAATTCCAAGACATACAATAGGTTCCTCTACGACTAGCGAGGACCCTAATAATAATAATAATTCCTTGAAATACAATAGGTTCCTCTACGACTAGTCGTTGCGAGGACCCTAATAATTCCTATAATAATACTAGTCGGAGAGGAACCTTTCACCGTAATCTTGATTTTACTGGCAGCCAGGACGCTACAAATTTACCGTTATTTTACGGTATAATACCGTAAATGGTTTTTACGCTATGTTACCGTAAAATGGATTACTGTATGTTACCGTAAACTTGAACAAATTTTACTGTGAATTAACTGCAGTACGTGTGCAGTCGACACTAGTAACTTACTATTTTATTTACAGTGCCCTACCGTAATTTACGGTATGTTGTCGTATATTGGATTACAGTTTCTTACCATACGATTACTGATTTTGTGTTCTAAATACCGGAATGTTACCGTTTCCCCACAAATTAAAGAAAGACAACCAAACTCATTTCGGTCATAGTGGTTGGAGTTTATTAGATGCCTTTAACACAAAAATGTTCGGCATTTGTAACCAAGATCAAAACATAAAATATGCCGCATGTATATAATAATAAAAAAATGAATCATGAAATCATTAGGAACAAGGTAAACTAACTGCAGCAATATGCTATGGAACACTTTCAATTGACCGCAGCAAACGGCTGGCGTCCTTAATCCAGTGCCTCTGTAAAACAAACCAAAATAAAACATTTAGAAACACTGTCATTGGTAAAATATTAAAATTACAAAGTTAAGGAAGACAACAAGATGTAAGGAAGGAGAATGTTAATCATGCTAGGCAAATAACACTTACCAACGTTACTTGGAGAGACTAGGCAATGAGAAACTCCTCCGATGTTGAACTGCACAGGTGTTCTGGATGAACTGAGATTACGCGTCTGACGTTCAGGAGCAGTCGGTCACGATTAACACTCAAATGACTTTTAGGCAATGAACACTTTGAATAATACAAATATTTATAATTTTACATCTACATTCCGGCCACTGAAATGACAGCCAAGGCGGCGCATGCGATAGGGAGGGTGTGCTGTGCAGCACAAGGTTGGCAGTTCGAATCCTGGCAGCTCCCTGTGCAAAGTTGAAGTGTCCCTGAGCAAGACACCTAACTAATGTACTGTAAGTCAAAGTCATCATATCTCATGAGATACTATCTCATTATGATGACTTACAGGACCTGTTTTTCAGTGGCTGACATGGGCTTCCATATATTAACCTACAAAAGATGTAGATGGATTGTGATTCACTTCACTTGTATGTGTATTTCCACCACTTCATAAAATATAACATGCAGTTGAATTACGGTAGTCTGCTATTATTGTAAATTGACAGCTTTAACTGTTTATTCATGACATTGGCCGTTAATTTACAAGCAAGGGATGGAAATTTAACTGTATGTTACAGCTATTATGACATACTGTAAGATACTGTTAGAAATGCACCGTAAAATTACAGCAATTTGTTACAGTGTAATTAAATACAAATGTGACCATACATTTTGTGTGCGTCACATAAACAATCACATGCAGATGCTGAGCAATGCAATTCCGTTGAAATACTGTCTGATACATATATGACACTAAACATGTGTAATATTAATGCACATTATTATGAATAACAACAAGTGTTGCCATGGAGGTAGTTCAGATCATCTATAAATCACTTTTATATCAATTAAAAACAGCTGACAAGAGGTAAACATACACCCAGCAATGCAAATTAAACAGCGCATTCATACTTTTTTAAAATATCACAATGTTTTGCATGCAGTATTCTTTGATAGCTTTGAATCAAAACAACATTTTGTAAGATATAGTTTTTAGAATGTCCGATACATAGGCCTACAGTATTTGATGGTAATCATGAACAGTGCCTATACAATATTATTACACATTATTATGAACTGTTGCTATGGACGTAGTTCATATCATGAACTCCCTAAAAATAGTTTTTAAAATAATTTTAAGATTCATATCTTCTATCAATTTCTTTCTGTATTTAGTGGCACAAGCACACCACTTTTTCATTGTTTTGCATACCAATTAAATTTAAGTAACGACACTTTAAATTACCACAGATGGTCAAATGAATCGGAAACGATTTGGCACATTTAACGGTTAAAAGGTAGAAAACCGTCCTGGAGCCGGATGAGTGTTTCTAGCTAACATGAGTTAGCTAACGTCAGTTAGCACTCGATAGCTAACGTTACAATTGCTGAAACCGGACTAAAATCACTAGCATGATCCTTGTATAACGTCTGGGTTGGGTCACACAGTCAGTCAAAGTCTCCCAGGTCGTGACCCGGAAGTCGAAAGAGACGATAAGTTGCAGAGTTCAACAACATATTGTTGGTCAGAATTAAATTCTCCATGTACCTTCGGCGACGGCGTCTTCTCTCCGTTATCAAATCAGCCAATAGCGCCATTCGCTATACTCCTATTGACAGCATGCAAAAATAGCAGAGGGTTGTAGCTTCACCTTGCTCTCCGTTCGCCATCTATCTCGTAATGTTGATGTTGTTGTTGTTGGTTTTTGTTGGTAGTGGTGAAGAGGTCAAGCGGAAATGGCTGTATCACAACTAGTTGTGATGAAAACAGTGCCACCTATCGTATCGGATATGACATGCTTTCGGCCAATGATTTGATTTATTCACTGCCATGTATATTGGGATAATAGCACCTCCCCCAGAAAGATAGCATAGTCCGACTAAGCAAAGATTCGAATTAGCTGTATAAAAGCGCATGGTTGCTGCCTGCCGGTGTGGCTGGTTTTCCCTGGCCAGCGTCCAGCGAACAGGACAGCACAGTGGGGGGGGGGGGACACTGTCTCCGTACTTTTCTCACACTGCAGTTGTTCAAGGGGGATGTTCTACATCTGCAGAGGCGAGTTCATTGAGACGTCACCAACAAGACGGAGTCTGTCGGCCAACCAGCGCTGGGAACAGAAGGATTTCAATTTTGACAGCTTGCTGCAGGTACGGACAATCGTCATATTAGCATTGAAATGCTGTTACTTTAAAAAATTTGACACTATTTTATCGTAATGGGCTACTAGACATAAAAATAGCCTCTCTTTGAAAATGTTTTTGTAAAATGTTTTTTCAAGTTGATTAAAAAAATGGAAAGAACCATATTCAGCTAGCTGAACATCAAAGTTCAATATAAGAGTGTCTCCCATTCAGGGCCTGATGTCGCTGTTCGTGATGTACTCCAAGAACGGCTTGTTGACCCTCATGTATGATGGACTGGACGCCGTTGGAGTGGACCAACAGGTATCCGATTGATGTTCTCACACTGACATGGTGTTAGTGAAAATACAATCTGACGTGTCTTTCCTCCTCCTCCTCCCCCTCAGCCCATGATCAACTAAAATGAATGGATACTTCCTTTCTTCATCTCCTTCATGATCGTGAGCTTCTTCTTGCTCGACATGTTCATCGGTGTGATGGTGGACACCTTCCACGACTGTCAGAAGCAACAAAAGAAACCATCTGAGGAGGCGAGAAACAGCTCGCGGCGCGGCGCAGGTGAGGAGCGTGGGGACAGAAAGGGATTGCAGACGCATTTCCCTTTCCCGTGTGTGACCATCTCAAAATCTGCATTTGTGCGTGCGAAGGCGAGGATGTTCCTGAGGTTCCCGAGGAGACACCGTACCAAGCGTCCTACTCCCGCATGCGTCTGTCCATCCACACCCTGTGCACCAGCAAGCCGCTGGACCTCTTCATGGCCGTCCTGATCGTCATCAGTATTTTGATCATGGAGCACTACCAACAACCTCTGGTGAATATGCGCACGCACGCACAATACAATCACTGGCCCCACAGCGAGAATGAGTGTTACTGTGGAGTTTCTGTGTGTGTCCTTGTGTTCAGTACATTAAGAGGTTGACAGACTACTCCCACTACGTGTTTACCTGAATGCTGTTAATTGAAGTCCTGCTGAAGCTTGTGGCGTTTGGGGGGCTGAGATTCCTGCGAAACAGGTGACTCACTTCAACCGGGGGGAGGTCTGTGTTTGCTTGTTTCGGTCAGTGACTCGCGTCTTCCCGTGTTTGTGTTTGGTTGGAACCTCGTGGTCGTCTTGGTATTGTGAGATGTATGTAGTGGTAGATCCCGACAGTATCCATCACGAGCATCGCCTTAAACATGATGAGGGTGTCACAGCAAATTGCTGTAAATCCCACCATCCTGCGAGTCCTCAAGAGTGCTTTTTTTAGTCCTGAAGGCCAAAAGGATTTGTGTCCTGCTGACAACGATCGGCAAAACGCTGTCGCAGGTAAACGCTTTATATATTTATTCCTCATCAATGTAGACTGAGAATGAACGCATTTATCTCTGGCTTGCTTCTCCTGCATCTGTGCTTGTGTTGAGGAAGTGGCTTGTGCTGACGCACTTCGCGGCCCCGTTGGTTCAGACCTGACGTCCTCCATGCTGTAGCTTTTGTTGCACCTGGCGGAGCAAACTCATATTTTTGATTCCAGGTTGAAAACATTTGTCTCCACTTCCTGTTTTTCTTTAACAACTACGCAACGCCGGTAGTGGAGTTCTTTGGCCATTTAGGTCAGTCACAAACGCATGCACGAAGGCTCACAGCGAAGGATCGCGGCCCCAGAGCTCCCCCCCACAACGTATTGTTGCTAAGGAAACCAAGAAAGCTCTTAGCTAAACAGGGCAGGGCTATTGAGTGTAGTCACTACATCAGAAACAGTTCAGTGTCGTTGGCCAATGTTGTCTTAGCTCATCCTGATGGTGGAACAGTATACTTGAGGCCTTCTCTTTCATCCTGCACCATCAAAATGTTCAAAAAGTGCAAAGTCGGCGTCTGAATCGCGCGCGTTGTTTTTTCTCAGAATGCGCCGAGGACGACCTGTGCCTCGGATTAAACGAGTACGTCAACTTCGTGGCCTTGTTCACCATCTTCCTGGTTTGCGTCGTCGCACAGTTCATGCTTGCCAACCGTCATTGTGCAAGCTCTGGAGGACAGCAACAAGGTAATGGTAAGGTTGAGCTCAAGAAAGCTTTAATTTTCACGGACACGGGAGATTTAGATTTGTTGAAATTACTCAAATTTAAAAAGAAGCCAAAGAATATCCCCAAAAATGATATCTAACTTTCAGATTGAAGTACCAATATTTACATATTATTAAAGAGATTATTTCTGTGTTCTAATGACTTTTCTGTTTGTCCCCCCGCTAAAGGACGAAGGAGTGTCTGGACTGTCTGCTGCTCATCTCGTTGTCCCGGGAACTTCTGACACCTGATCCAGATTGATTGATGATTGATTTTACCCATTCATGGTCCTTTTGAAAGCCGTTAAATTTTATTGTAAAAGTATAATTTATTGATTCAACTAAAATGTTTTAATATTTTAAGAATTGATATTTATACATTTTTCTACGCATGTGTATTCCCGATGTTCCTTTTGAAAGCAGTTTTTCTATTCTAAAAGAACGATTTATTGATTTAACTGCTATTTTTTTTGTTTTAATAATCCGTATACATTCATGCATCTTTTTTTTCTGATGTTCATTTTGAAAGCAGTTAGTTTTATTCTAATAGAACAATTTATTGATTTAACTATTTCTTTGTTTTAAGAATCTGTATATATTTCTTCATCCATCTTTTTTCCTGATGTTCATTTTGAAAGCAGTTAGTTTTATTCTAAGTTTTATTCTAATAGAACAATTTATTGATTTAACTATTTTGTTGTTTTAAGAATCTGTATATATTTCTTCATCCATCTTTTTTCCTGATGTTCATTTTGAAAGCAGTTAGTTTTATTCTAATAGAACAATTTATTGATTTAACTGCTATTTCTTTGTTTTAAGAATCCGTATATATTTATGCATCCATCTTTATTGTTGGAATGCATTAAGCATTCCAAGTATTGTTCTTCGAATCTTTATTTCAACATATTCTTATTGTTGGAATGCATTAAGCATCCAACTTTTCATCCCTTCGCTCCAAATTGAAGTTACCGTCGGGACTACTGGATCAGCAATGAACACTAGTTTTGAGGTAAGTCTTGTTTGCTAGGAACGATGTAATATGCTGTTTAACTAACGAAGGTAACTCGCCATCCATGTTATGTGTCGTAATATTTTTGTCACGTTATCCCCATCAAATATTTCCCATCCTGTTTTTTTAATCTAAACTTAGCATGTCAGCTTGATATGACGTTAGCTAACTTTACGACGTTAGGATTGGCCAATGTTGTCTTAGCTCATCCTGTTGGTGGAACAGTACACAGAATGCTTGAGGCCTTCTCTTTCATCCTGTACGTCAACTTCAAGCACTTTGGCGTGGCCTTGTTCACCATCTTCCTGGTTGGCACCGGGGACAATTGGAGCGGGATCATGATGGTATGCGCACACACACACGCACATCCGAAGGAAACTGGCCAGTTATTGTAAGGTGATCCACACCCTGCAGCAAATAATAAGGGATGAGACTTGTTTGTCTCTTTTAACTTCGTGGTTGCCCCGATTGGTAAAGTCACCATGGCAACCAAACGGTCCAGATTTCCTCGTCTGTGTGAAGTTCTTCTTCCCTCTCTCTGCTCCTTTGAAGGACACCTTGAAGCAGTGCCGTCCTGGAGAGTGTGCACTCTACGTCACGTGGGTCTCTCCGGTATATACGTACTTTATCACCTTTGTGGTCGTCGCAGAGTTCATGCTTGCCAACCGTCATTGTGCAAGCTTCGGAGGACAGCAACAAGGTAATGGTAAGGTTGAGCTCAAGAAAGCTTTAATTTTCACGGACACGGGAGATTTAGATTTGTTGAAATTACTAAAATTTAAAAAGAAGTCAAAGAATATCCCCAAAAATGATATCTAACTTTCAGATTGAAGTACCAATATTTACATATTATTAAAGAGATTATTTCTGTGTTCTAATGACTTTTCTGTTTGTTTGATTGATGATTGATTTTACCCATTCACGGTTCTTTTGAAAGCCGTTCAATTTTATTGTAAAAGTATAATTTATTGATTCAAATAAAATGTTTTAATATTTTAAGAATTGTTATTTATACATTTTTCTATGCATCTGTATTCCCGATGTTCCTTTTGAAAGCAGTTTTTCTATTCTAAAAGAACGATTTATTGATTTAACTATTTCTTTGTTTTTATAATCTGTATATATTCATGCATCTTTTTTCCTGATGTTCATTTTGAAAGCAGTTAGTTTTATTCGAATAGAACAATTTATTGATTTAACTATTTCTTTGTTTTAAGAATCTGTATATATTTCTTCATCCATCTTTTTTCCTGATGTTCCTTTTGAAAGCAGTTGTTTTTTTCTAATAGAACAATTTATTGATTTAACTGCTATTTCTTTGTTTTAAGAATCCGTATATATTTATGCATCCATCTTTATTGTTGGAATGCATTAAGCATTCCAAGTATTGCTCTTCTATTCTTTATTGTTGGAATGCATTAAGCATTCCAAGTATTGTTCTTCGAATCTTTATTTCAACATATTCTTATTGTTGGAATGCATTAAGCATCCAACTTTTCACCCCTTCGCTCCAAATTGCAAGGAACGATGCTGTTTAACTAACGAAGGTACTCGCCATCCAAGTTATGTGTCGTAATATTTTTGTCACGTTATCCCCATCAAATCTTTCCCACCCTGTTTTTTTAATCTAAACTTAGCATGTCAGCTTGATATGACGTTAGCTAACTTTACGACGTTAGGATTGGCCAATGTTGTTTTAGCTCATCCTGATGGTGGAACAGTACACTTTCATCCTGCACCATCAAAATGTTCAAAAAGTGCAAAGTCGGCGTCTGAATCGCGCGCGTTGTTTTTTCTCAGAATACGGCGAGGACGACCTGTGCCTCGGATTAAACGAGTACGTCAACTTCAAGCACTTCGGCGTGGCCTTGTTCACCATCTTCCTGGTTTGCACCGGGGACAAATGGAGCGTGATCATGATGGTATGCACACACACACGAAGGAAACTGGCCAGTTATTGTAAGGTGGTCCACACCCTGCAGCAAATGAGAGGGATGAGACTTGTTTCTCTCTTTTAACTTTGTTAATGTCAGCTTGATATGACGTTAGCTAACTTTACAACGTTAGCTAACGGTCTGGTTCAGTTAACGCAGTCACTTTTTTAACTCAAATTGGAATGAAGTAAATCACGTAGTTTGACTTAGACGACAACGTGATTTCGTGGTCATAAGAGGCCCAGATATTGATAAGATAAGGTGGTCCGTTTCAGATGAAAGAGTTGAAGGAAGAGGATGCAATATATGTAGCGAGATGGAAGTGGAGCTGGGCCTGGCGGAAGGTGGAGGTCAAAACAGACGCTAGAGGACTGCAGTACAGCTTCCCACTGTCTCAGTATTTTCTCAAAATTGATAAAGCAGGGTATGCGAAATGCAGCCTGTGCTCCAAGGACTACAGTAAGAAGGGCTCACATGCCCTCTCTTCACAGTGCCAGACAATAATGACCACAGCCAGTGTACTTCCAGTCCCTACTGCTACTCTAGCGGAACATTCCCTGCCATTCACCTTTGGAACTGAAGAAGCTGACTCACATGATGTCACACCTGCTGCCGCCAACTGCCGACACGCACCAGGAGATCCTGCAGTACAACGTGGACCAAACCCTGCCCACTTTTAGAGAGAGGGAAGATGTGGTTAAATGGTGGTCCTCTTGTCTTTTCTTCTGGGAAATATCCCGAGCACTGACATAGTCTCTTTTCATAATGTGTGATACTGGGTAAATTAAACCAAAATAAGTATCATGAATTTGTCGTGATTTGTGCTTTATTGCCTCGCCCCCCCCCCCCCCCCCCCCCAAAAGGGGGCCCCTTTTTCACCCCCCGGCGCTAGCTAACATAGCGCTAATATGGCACTAGCTAGCGTTGCACAAGCAATAACAAGACCAAACGGGTGACAAGTGGCTCAAAACGCCAGTGAAAATATCTCATGTCTTTAGATGGCTAGCTAGGCTGTCTTTGATTGCCTTTGTGGCACTGACTCATGCAGACGTAATACTACCAGTATTTCTACTGCTATTAAAATGACTAAAATACTACTTCTTCTAGTAGTGACTCTACAACTGACACTACCAGGAAAAAGTACTGCTAGTATTTCTACTGGCATTAATACTACAATTACTACTAATGTTAAATCAAATACTATTATGACTAATAGTATTACAGCTGTTTCTACTGCTATTGATACTAAACCTACATGAAATGAATATTAAAACAGTGCTGTTAATACAGGCATAAGAAAAGATTAATTTATTTTAAAGAACTGGAAATGCAGAATTGGGAGAAGCTGAATTTCAATATATTTTCTAAAAAAAGACAGAAGTTGCAGGAACTTAAATGAATTTTAAAAAATACAGAAATAAAAGCTTAGATGAATAAAAAACGTTTGTAGTAATAGTAGTAGTTATAGTTGTGATTGTGGTATTAGTAGTCCTAGCAGTAGAAGTAGTAATAGTAGGTTTAGTATCAATAGCAGTAGAAACAGCTGGAATACTAATACTATTAGTCATAGTAGTATTTCTAATAACATTAGTAGTAGTTGTAGTATCAATAGCAGTAAAAATACTAGTAGTATGGTAGTAGAAACTTCTTCAACTTTCAGATTTTTCAGCTTGGCCAATCTTTCAGCTACATACACCATTTAACTTTCAAATGTTGACACAAGTCTCAACTATTTTATGAAAAAAACTGATTGTTGATAATTATTCTACTTTTTTCATAATCACTGATAATGTTTCATAGTTCTTCGCTCAGTTTCTGAGTTTCACATGAGTGTGTATTGCGTTTCTTAGAGTGAGAGCTGAAGGGCTAGAGTGTAGAGCAGCGTCAGAATCTGGTTAAAAAAATATGGAACTTCTGTCCTTCCAGCCAAAGTATACACTTTTGAGACTTCAATTTTTTAATTTAATGATGGCATGTGTTAAAGGAGCCCGGTCCTTTTACCTGGGCTACTGTGGTGTTGGATTGCCCCCGGATAGGTCTGTCTGACGCGCACGTTGTTCCCGCCTTGGTCACCCCTGCGTTCCCCTGCTTACAGGAATAATCCACCGACACGTTCTTTGTGTGGTTGATCTTGTGTTTTATTTTGCATTAGAATGTTTGTTCCGAGCAGAACCCACGAAAACCCTTTCGCTCTCCGGGTCCAACACCTGATACCAATTGTTACATAATCAATTATATAGGCGCAGACATGACCCAAGAACAGCGCCCCCAGTGTACAGAATAAAATAGACGTTTTGGCTCCTACAGCATGGTTGTGCTGATTGGACTAATGTGGCTATGGAATACCAAAGTTCCTTAGTTTTGGCTTCAGGAGTGTTAGAATGACACAATCTCTGCCAAAAGCCCCATAGGCTCCAATACAAATCTGCCAACATATTTCTCAAAAAATCCAGAAGGTACACGTTTTGTAAACTGTAAACAGTACATTACAGTAGGAACATTATCTTATCCGGATCAGAACAATATGTTCCGCGCAAATTTGAACATGCCGCCAAAGTCCAAGAAGTACTTACTCGTCAGATTGGAAAATGTAACTTTTTAAAGAAGAGTTTTGGCTATCAAAATGTTATAGGTCCAAAATTGAAATGTATAATGAAACATATAAGAAAAAGGTATATTAGGTAAGATGTGCTCTGAATTTTAGTAAACTACCAGATCCTTATTTCCTCCCTTCAGGAACTCTGTGTCTCAGGCTCTGCTCTCACCCTTTTGTCATTCTACCTCGACGGCTGCACCTTCTGGGTAACTTAGAGAGGATCTGGTAGGAACTGTGTCATCCTACTACTGGAGTTCCTCAGGGTTCTGTCATGGGTCCCCTCGTCTCGTTCTACACTCTCGGAGCTGTCATTCGATCGCATGGCTTCTCCTACCACAGCTATGCCGATGACAGCCAACTAATTCTCTTGTTCTCTCACTCGGACACTCAGCTGGCGGCACAGATCTCTGCCTGTCTGACTGACATCTCTCAGTGGATGTCCGCTCACCATCTGAGAATCAACCCCAACAAGACTGAACTACTTCTCTTTCCGGGGAAAGACTCTCCTACACAGGACCTGACTTTGACCGCTAAGAACCTCGGCGTGACACTCGACAGTCAACTCTCCCTGACTCCCAACATCACTGAGACAACACGATCCTGTAGATGCACGCTCTACAACATCAGGAGAATACGTCCCCTTCTCACTCAGAAGGCAGCGCAGGTACTGATTCAGGCTCTTGTCATCTCCCGCCTGGACTACTGCAACTCCCTCCTGGCAGGTCTCCCTGCTACAGCCATTCGACCTCTGCAGCTCATCCAGAATTCAGCAGCTCGACTGGTCTTTAACCTTCCGAAATTCTCCCACACTACTCCACTCCTCCGCTCTCTTCACTGGCTACCGGTGGCCGCCCGCATCCAGTTATAAACATTGGTGCTCACGTACCATGCTGTGAATGGATCGGGTCCAGCTTACATCCAGGATTTGGTCAAACCCGACATCCCGACCCGCACTCTCTGCTCTGCATCTGATAAACCGCTTGTCCCTCCATCACTGAGAGCTAAACACTCGACAAGATCACAACTCTTTGCTGTCCTGCTCCTAAATGGTGGAACGAGCTCCCTGAAGACACCAGGACCTCAGAGAGCCTTCACATCTTCCGCAGCAAACTAAAGACACGCCTCTTCAGACTCTACCTCAGCTAAAAACACTAACACATTGTGTAAATCAGGGGTCTCAAACTCGCGGCCCGCGGGCCAATTGCGGCCCTCGGGACGATATTTTGTGGCCCCATCCTTAATGTGAAAGTGTAATGTTAGTGCGGCCCGCAAGTTTTATACTGTAACCCCACTGTCAGCTGCTGTGTGGGACATGTTATGATGTTCTGGTTTCCTACTGTGTGCTTGTCCAGTGAACGTGGCATGCATGTGACTGACAGGGGGGGCGGGTCGTGTGTGTCGGCCGAGGTGCAGAGAGCAGGAGGGTGAAATTCAGTTTCCTGCCTTCTTTCGCGCAGGTGATCATGTGACTAACCGTTACACTCTCAAAACAGATGTGTTAAAAATAACACATCATGTGTTAATTTTTAACACATCTGTGTGTCTAGTTAAGGACAACACATTCTGTGTTGCTTTTAACACAGCCAGTGTGTCAGAACATTTAACACACGTTGTGTGTTCTATATTTCAACATAACAATGTGTTAAAATAACCCAAAAGATGTGTTAATTTAACACAAAAGATGTGTTAAAAATAAGATTTATACTTTTTCTAAAAAGCATTCTTAAAATGCAATTTTTTCATGGTAAATATGCTCTAAAACACTCACAATAAACAACTAAGACATTTAGGTCACAATTTTATTTCATTAATTTCATATTAAAACATTTGTTTTTCCCAAATGACCACTGCAAACTAACATTTTTATAGACAAAATGCAGTAAATACATAAAATTAAACAACTCATTTGAAGAATTGAGAAAAAAAAATCTCACTGAACAAGAAGTTACTGAAACTGAAATCTGAAAAGGATCGCTGCAGGGAAGATCAGGCCACACCGTCATAAATCTGCAGTATCACTAAACAGGAAAAGCAGCATTCACATTTTTGCGGTGTTACGAGTTGTTGGTTTTGTATAGGTCTTGCACTTAAGTAATGCGTATTTAAGCAATCAATTTGTATCTAGGATTTAGGTGGAGTTGGTTTCCACTGTAAGACGACAGCAAGTCTAGTGGTCTGATGTCTGCTATATCATTTAGACTAATCATTTCATAATCTTCATTCCGCTCCACCACATATGAATACAAATGATTATCAAAGTATTTCACAGATAAAATCCTAAGAAAAACGAGTACCCTTTCTTTTTCACAATTGGGAACCAGGTGTACAATCTCTCCAAAAAGGCGCTCGCCTCTGTAGTCACAGTTTAAAGCAAGTACAGAACCTGTTCTAAACATCTGACCATGCACACAGACAGAGGTAGCCACATGAATTGTGCTGCAAGTACTGACATCATATCCCAGTTCTTTCAAATTTTCAATGAACAAATCACTTTTTTCCAAAGATCCAACCATGACTGGGAAAGCGTTTGGGACGGTAATTATCTTTGTTAGTGGATCATTATATTTCCAATTGAACATACTTTGAACTTGAGTCTTATAAGCCAACGTTTTTGAAATATTTATGAAATTACACACAACATGGGCATGCCTTTTCAGTGGACCGTGCTTACTTTCAAATCTCATACACCATAACTTTAAAAGTGGGCCAAACTTTATCATCATTCGCCAATAGTGAGTCATAAAATGATGTTTTGGGATGAGTGGCCTGTCAGGATAAAGACTTTTAAACAAATTGTGGTGATCTATAACCAACTGCTTTAAAAAGACAGAAAGTCCTGTGCTAACAACAGGGGCAAATGCAATGCTACAAATTTCTCTAAGGAGAAGGAACAATTTCCAATGTTGATTATGTTCACTTATAAAGTCTCCTATTAGAAAGGGTAAAAATAGTAAGAGGCACCACATCTGACTGGCGGTTTGTTTTATGGGATTCTCTGATGTTCTTAAATTAAGAATGACACTAGGTTTGTTTTTCTCATTTGCAAAACCGTAATCAAAGCTTAAAAGTCTGTCATTGAATTGCTCTAAGGTGAAAAGCTTTTCAAAATAGATGAAATGTTTTAACATCAATTTCACTTCAACTAGAGCCACACCCTCCAAAAGATCATGCATTATGTCTACACAAATGTTTTCGGTCACATGAAAGTAGTTGAGCGAGTTTAAACAGGAATCCTCTTTGATTCCAGTTAAGGTTGGATTGTTCATCATTACATGTTCTCTATAGTTTACTTTGTTACGAAACTCCTGGTGATCATCATCAAACACATTCTGGGCAGCTTGTTTGTTGGTAAGACAGAAATGGCAAAATTTGTTGGCCGAAAAGCTTTCTAAAAACCCTCCAATTGAATGGCAAGCCAGATTATCTGCAGTTAAGAGGCAGATAGTACCATGGAGCCTAGAACTTTTACCTGCAATTTCAACCTCTATCCCTTCTGTTTCAAGAAATCGAATGTCATCCAACAAAGGCTCTAGTATTTTGCCAAAGCCATATACCTCTCTGTCTATAGCATTGAAGAGTAGACAAAGGTGAATGTTTGCAAGGGATGAGTTGAATTGCACGGGCAAGTTTCTCAAGCAAAAGTAAACTGCTCCCATTTTGTGAACTTTGGTTTTTGAACCTAAAGGATTAGTCGTTTCTAAGTCATCAAAATAAAGTTGGATTTGTAGGGCATTAGGATATCTATTGTATAATGCATGATGTGCAAACTGTGTGCCATCACAATAATCATGCATTTTACCATCAACACCTTTTTTAGATTGCTGAGAGAGTCTCTGCATCTTTTCACTTTTAAAGAGAAACTTTATGGTGTCAATAATGGAGATATACTGGCAAGTGTCTGCAGCCAGTACTTGAGTCAATTTCCCCTGCTTTCTTGCCGTGTCGCCTCTGTACCCTAAGAAAATTTCTGTGGGCTTCACAAGAGAGTGTTTTTCAGAAAAATATTTGCACATTTTGTAGGGAGTATCCACCTCGGAAAACATGTTTCGTGCATTTTCAAAATCCTGCATTAAAGATTTGACAGCGTCATCATTTGACAAAGAGTAACTATCAATTACAGATGCAGTTTTATCCTTTAAATCGTCCAATGTCTTGTCCAGTAGCTCTTTAGTGCAAGCAATGCTTTTTTGCACATCGGTTAGGGTGGAATTTGATGCACAGTACATTTTGGCAACAAATGAAGCTGCAGTCTCACGATGGTCTGAAACATGACAATCCATTGAAGTTTCCGAATCTGTTTGTGGAGTGTCCATTGCGTTGGAGCATGACGTAGAAACATCTTCCGACCCATTACCAAAATTGACCATTTGTTCCAAATTTACTGGGTTTGCAACCTGAGTGTGTTCCCTGTTTAGATGTCTGGCATAAGAATTAAAGTTATGGTAAGTTCTTTGACAGTGGTTCTGACTACATACAATTGTATAATCCTGTCCATCTGAAATTGCATGAACTTGCCTAAGATGTCTAATAAGTGTCCTGACTTGTTTCGAAATGGATTTCTTGCATTTGGGACAACTGTACATGGTGGTACAACTTACAACAATAATGCCTGGAGCTTTGCAAAAAGTTCCACAACTTTAGATCTCTTCCCACCTGAGATGGGCATGTCATAAACATACTCAAGGAAACTGTAGACTGATTCGAGTTGGGCAGGATATGCCATGTTGCAAACCCAGAAAACTTTGAACAGTTTGTCAATGGCACATGTCAAACCTTCGTCTTGAAGGGGGATGGCGACATTGTCGTTCTTTGCAATGATGACGTACTGAGCAACTGTCCTGGGGTGCCCTAAACACACCAGCTTGGGCTGGTGGACTCCCACTGCTTCCTCAGGAGATCCCGCTAGAAGGCTTGGTATGCTTGTTCCAGTCTAGGAAAGAACATGTATAACAAATAGGGCTCTTAAGGGCTGATATCAAATACACAAAATTCAGAATATATGTCAGAATCCCAATGCTAAACTTGGCATATGTATGCCAAGCAGTTGGCAGTTTAGATGTGCATCTGCAATCCAATATGTTGATTACTTACCAAGTATGGCATGTCCACAAAGCGAGGGTACTGCTGGAAAACCTCAGCCACGGTTGGCGATTTGCTTGTAATCCAGAGTCTCCGGGTGGTGTAGGTTTTCTCCATGCCCATTTTGATAGATGCAATGTTCTCAGGAGATGGTCTCATCCTTTTGGTAGAGGTTATCCACTCCTTGATGGACTTTTCTTCCCCATTGCAATCACTTCCAGTGTATACTAACTCCAGAGGGATTACTAGACCTGCCACGCTTGCGATACAGTCGCTGATCATCATGGAGGGTTCTCTGTAGGTTTCTCAGTTTCATTTCGATGAACCCACAATGAGACACCGGGTCATAAAAGTGCTCCTGGATGCAGATAAATAAAAAGGGATTTTTTTTAATAAAAGGATGACTCCACAATTCTTCATGAGAGTCCCATGCTATTCTTGCCTTAATATGAACTTATATTTCAGACAATATATTTGTTACCCAATACCAATTTACTAATCATTGGGTTTTAATACCCAATAATTAGTAACCCTAATCAAATCCTAAATTCTGTTGCATCAAAAACATTTGAGTCACTCTCTAAAACCAAGGTGTGCAAGGCCACCAAGGTGTGCAAAATCTCAAACACAGTGGCTTTATAACTAGGTGGCAAATAAGTTAGTAAAATACCTTTTGCATTATATTTGCTCAGTCAGACCAGACTAGTTTATACTTACAAATCCTTCATTCTCTTCTTGGATCTTGATCTTCAGTGATGGGAAGACTGTTATTAAGCTTTTAGCCAAATTCTGTTTGTCAGCACTTGAAGGGTAACTGAAAGAAAAATGTAGAATTAAGGCCAGAATAAAATAGAAAACTATACAAGGCTTTTATAGAGAACACATATTTTTGCTGCAATGCATTCATGAGTGATTTCACTGTGATTAACTGATTTAACAAGTCACATTAGTTAACCTAAATATGTCCTGCACAATTTCAGACGTATGAACTACTGTTTTTAATTGTGACCAATCACTTAATTGGTAATAAAGCAAGATCTCTATATTCATAATCTCCAATAAAAATGGAAAAACTCACAATCCCCTTCGCTCCACCAGATCACTGACACCTATCTTCACAACAAGTTTTCTGGAGGTCACAGAGAGTGTTCCTGATTTTTCATATTCAGCCAGTACACTCCGGGCCTTACTCTCAAGGAGTGCTGTCAGACTGGCTGCATTAAATCCATGCGCATCATCAATTTGTCCTCGACTATTCTGTGAAGGCAAATTACAAATAAAATATTACATTTTACATGCAATGGTCCTAATCTTCTCTGACACAAACCAAACTAAAAGCCCCCCACCCACCCCCCTCCGTGAACAATAGGTCACTAAATATTTTACCATGGTATCAGCCCATATCTGATACTAGAATCTCCAATAGACACATACCAGTTGACTGCTTGGATGAGTTGTACAGGAACTGAACTGCTCAGCCTTTAAAAAGGAAAAAATTTCACCACTTGAACAAGAGCAATAATAATAATAATAATAATTGAGAAGATGGTGTTCACCGCCTTACACCATGGAGTAGACTAGATCCAACATGCTTTCACGAGCAAGATAAATTATTCAACAGTTAAATGCTATTTAATACAATTCAATACCATTTGCACAAATAAATATCCAATATTTATTAATACTAGTGTCTATACATCTCTCAAGACACATACCTCCAATTGACCACTTGGACCAGCTGCATCTGTACCCGGCGGTTCCGCCTTCAAAAGAAAATGTCATTGATTGATCAGATACAATATAAATCACTAAGATGATAGAGTCCCATCATGCATAAGATTCTTACCTCACAGTTATACACTCGTACCGCACCTATACATTACATCTTCCAACAATGTTACAATATTCCAACTTGATCACGGTGTACATAACTATTTGTATGTAAAAGGTCAGCTGAGATATCAGGATCTAAGGCCTAAAAAGTCAAAGATTTTTTGACAAAAAAAAAGATTTTGACAAAAAAGATTTTTTGACTTTTTACATCCTACAACTATTGCTCCGTAATGGTGTAGACAACAATGCTTATCTACTGGGTTAGTTCATTGGCAGCCAAAATAGTCTATAAAATAGAAACAAATTATTAATTGAGTTTTCACAGGACTAATACATGTACATACCAACTGTTCCCGAGAGTGTTTTGGCTTGGTTGACTTGAACAAAATGTGATATTTGTCTAAGTTTCCGACATTGCCATTGATGTCCGTGTCAATGTATTCATTAAAATCTGTGTTAAATTTTAGAAGTCTATCACATTCTGCATTGCAAGTTAATGAACTTTTGCAGGCATCAAGAATGTCTGCAATAGAGGGCAGTTGAAGCATCTTCTTGCATATCTCTGTCCCATCTAGGAACACTGTTGTTAATGTCTTGGGAGCCTCACACCCTTCCATTTGAATGCTGTAAAAGAACAAAACGGCTGTTGGTGAATTGGATTAACTATGAACAAATTGCCCTTGGCCTTCAATTGAGAAAGTGCACAGAAATAGTATTTTTTTAAACAAATGGGACATACCAGTGTTTCGGAGGGCGCTCCCCCTCCTGAAAGTCTGAACTACCCCTCCCCCACACCGCCTCAACTATTCATTTTCCCGCCTATAGCACTTGACTGCTAACATTAATTCTTTGAAAACAGACCACTAACCCGCATAACAGTATATACATAAATATATATAGCGGTCAAACCAGAAACATTGTTTTTGTTAAGTCAACTTTTTGAGTAACTGAATATATGTCGGCGACATTACTGAACTATTAATGTGTTAGCATTAGCAGCACTTAACGTTAGCTCAGTATCACATTTAATTTAAAAAGAACGCTGGCTGGCGGGCCGTGAGCCGACTTTGACTCTGGACAGAATCCATCACGCAACGTTAACTGCATCAGATACGATATAGACCCATATTATAATATAACTTCAGCTCAGTCCATATTTCATAGGCAACAGAAACACAGGACACTAGCTAACGTTAGCTAGTAACGTAGCGCCAATACGGAGATAGCATTAACAATATATTGACGTTTAACATTAATGTTGTCGCTAAAGTTATTTACTAACGTTAGTTATTTGTTAAGTCATTACGGTTTTCCATTTTCGAAAACTCTACATTTCACAAACACATTTCAACAGCATTAATCGTATTGACTAACTTACCGTTAGCCGTCTTCGTTTTTCCTTGACTCAGCAATTCACTGTCAGTCATAGGAACGAACGTACATCAACTTCTTCTGTCGAGTGGCAGTTGACAAATCAGCTTATTGGCGCAGTACCGCCACCTGCTGGACTGGAGTGTGGAGTCGTGTTTGTGACGCAAAGCAGTTGCAGCGCGCAACTCAATTGAACAATTATTTAACACATGATGTGTTAGTGACTCCTGTGAAATATTTGTGTAATTTTAACACAAACAATGGATAATTCAACACAACGTGTGTTGAATTAGTACTAACACAAGAAGTGTGTATGATTTTAACACATCCTTTCTGAGGGTGTAGCCTCGCTCGTTTTAATAAAGCTTCCACTCTTTATTACAGGGGTCTCAAACTCCAGTGTGGCAGACCGCCGCGGGGGGTGGGGTACCGACTTTGGCGTACCCCACCCCCCGTCGACCATGCCGTTCGGACGCTAGTCTGGCCCGGGTTCGGTTGAAGTGGGCTGCATCTGGCCCGCAGCTGATTTGAGTTTGAGACCCCTGGTGTAAATTGTACTCATAATGGCTCGTATCTATAGCAAGTTGTAAACTTTGTTGTTTTTTGTTCTTTTGAGTTTGTATCCTAATGGTTGTAAGTCGCTTTGGATAAAAGCGTCAGCTAAATGACATGTAATTTAATATCATCACCACCTTCATCCCCCATCTACTAAACTGAGTGGGCTGCTAAGAAAACTTGGTAAATGAACAAATGCATGAAATACTCTGCCAGTTCTCCCAGACAACTCGGAACCAGCCTCAGCCGTGTTGTTGGGTAGACTTTACAGCCAGGACAGTTTGATGAAACTTTGGCGCCACCAAGTGGATGATAAGGAATACTGCAGCGACATTTAATTACTTTAATTATTGTGGCATTGTTTTCTCTCTGTCACAATTAAAAACTTTTAATGTGAAATTTTCACTTTAAAGGCAGTTTCCTTATTTATTTATATGAAATAACGCCTTTATTATTATTATTATCCTACATTTGGCGTTGGTATATTTATTTATGGATTTCAATAATGTTCCTATTATTATTAACATTAGTGTCAGTATTCGTATGTACTTTTTGTAATATAAATGTGTCTACCCTGGTGTCATCTCAAAGAATCTATCTTTTTCTGTTCATTCTCATTGAAACAATTACTTTTGACTATTTCAGTTAAGTTCCTACAAAATGTATGTCTTTATCCTCTTCAAGGTCTTTGAAAAGATAGAAAAATCTATCAAATTAATGTAGAATTTCTTTGTGAATACAGTGCAAATTTGGCTTTGTGAAAATGTAAGTCATTTTAAGTTGTTAACTGCTTGGGCTCCATGTACAGTATAACACTTTTTCCAAATTTCGATCAAATATTCATCAATATTGCTTCAATTGATAAATTATCAGGACACTGCAACTAGTGTTGCTGTATTTAATTATCTAACAAAAGACAAGTAACTCATTAAAATCAAAAGACTACAATAGTCACCTGTCGAATGTACCTAGTGACGTCGACGGCGGTGACGTCTTTGTTTTCAGGAATTTACCCACGAGGCGATGACGTTGCACAGGGCGACGGAGCGACCGAAACAAAGATGGCGGACGTGTCGGGCACCGAGCTGTCAGACGGCAAAGAGGCTGAAATTGAACTAAAGAAAAGACAGAAACGACCGTGGGAAGATTTGCACAAGTCCGCTAAAATCGTTCTGACGCCGGAACTGCCGGAAACGTTGGGATTTTACGACATTGGCGCTGTCAGGAGGCAGCAACGGGAGCTCCCCGCAGGTAACCGTCAACGACACCCCCCCAAACCGGCGCTTCAGCTAACGCTGGACTACTGTGTTTTCACAAATGCATTGTTGTGAGAACATCTTTAGCAAGTGTGGAAAGCGTCGGGAGGGACGTTATGTTGTTAAAGCTGAGTCGAGCGCGGGCTACGTTTGTTTTGTCGGTTTAGCCTTCGGTGACGACGACGACGACGATGATGATGATGATGATGATTAGCTGTCTCCTCCCGACAACGACTGTGTAACCGAAACAATGGAGTCGTTCTTTAACGTAACAACTTAAGTCTACTTCGGGATCTCTAACACTGTTTAGCCGCTGCAGTCATCCCTGAAGTTGGCAAGTCTGCTTAAAGTTCAGTGGGCAGTAAATGATATGTAACTCCGGTCAAATAAACCCTCTATCCACAGTTTTCTCCTCCACAGGTGTTACGACACATTCTGTCCCCCATCAGATGAAGTCACCTGGTGAATGTGAGCTGAGCTGCTTCTGCAAACCTTCTGTTAGAAACAGAGGGTTGGCATATTGTTTCATTTATAAAACCGTTATTATTTTATGAGTGGATCCGTTTGTAGACCCAGCTCAAGATGCACCTTCCTTTAAAACATATATTTTTTTAATTGTTATATTTATTGCAGTTATTTTTCAAGCAAACACAAGCAGGTTCCGGCTTCTCTAATGTGAGCATAATGTTTCTTCATACATATGATGGTTAACTAAATATCTAGTTTTGTTTTGGACAGCATGTACATCAACATCATTTTATGGACAAGGTGGTTCACCATTTGATCCAGAAGATGATTGGCAGTTAGTCGGAGACCTGCTGCAGTGACGTCTCACCTGTCAGTATCTGCTCCACTGTCTTTGAGTCAATGCTTCAGCATCACCAAGATCTCACCTATTATACCGTGTGACTGTTCCTAAAAGCTCCACAGATAGCTGCCATGTTTGGTGACGGCTATGTAAATGTGTGTCCCTGACTGTCCCGTGACCTTATGCTTCTCTCTTGCTGTCCTTATAAAGTAAATAGAAGTTCAAACACACAGCGTGATACCTTTTGCGCTGGTAATCTATTCCCGATAAGCCTCACTGAGTCCCAGCGGTTGGTGAGACACCTGTTAACACGGATCCTCGTTTGACCTGCCACATTGGGCATAGAACTAATCCTAATAATCTGATGTTAGGTCAACTCTACTGAGCAAACATTGGACAGTGTAAAGTACAAATACTGGACATGAATATGTTTAATGAAAATATACTGCAATGTTCTTGTGCCCCATGTGACTGTTAACTTGTGGAGCTAAATTTACCTTAAAATACAGCCGATTTTTTTTTGCCATAAATCCATTTAAGCCCAACATGTTTCAGCTCGGTGGACGAAACTATTCAGACAAAGCTGTTGCTTGTTGGGACATCAGTGTACCGTTGGGTCACGTGGATTCATCTTTATCTTCAGTGGGAAGCTTGTTTAACAGGAATTCAAAGTGGAAATGATTTCAACACAGTATGTTAGGCAGTTATGAAGTAGTTTATAACAAGATATCATTTTGTAGTCATTTTAACACTCTCGTCTAATAAAAGTTTCGACAACATTAATTCATTCAGTTTTCCAGTATGTATTCTTGAATGTGTCAAATGTAAATATGCAATCTACACAGAGCAAACCGTGTACTCGCTTTCTCTCAGTCATGTTCCTACTGTATATTCCTCAGCAGTTTATTCAGCATGTCCAGCCATTACACAGATGATTTCATGGTGCATTGACTCAAACAGTGAGAGGAGAATGTTGTCTCTCACCTTGCAGAGAAGTTTCCTTCTCTTTCATGTTGTGTAAACTCTTCATTGTGCTGCTGGCTCTGGCTGTAGTTGTTGCAGACAATGGCCCTGTGGTAACACTGGCGCTCTGATGTTGTTCCAGATCCGTCGCTGACTCGCTTCATTAGCGCCGAGCTCACCAGAGGCTACTTCCTGGAACACAATGAGGCAAAGTACACAGAGCGCAGAGAGCGGGTTTACACGTGCATGCGTATTCCCAAGGAGCTGGAGAAGGTACTTCATTATACAAGCGTCTCAATTAAGTGTTTTTGTCAGTGCACGGGTGCAAAATACCAAAGATTTGTAGGTTGAAGCCTCACGAATCATATGACCAGCTTGTCTTCTCCATTTAATATCGTTCTAAAAGGATTAACTCTCATTAATCCTTTTAACTTTTAAAGTGTTTTCATTAGCATTTGGTCATAGAGAAATGTTTTACTGCAAAGTCTCCTTGGTGCTCAACATTTACAGTAGCGTAAACATCAAGAACACTCCGCTTTTATTTATTTTCTCTTTAAACAAGTCCGTGCCAATATTTTCTAAAACATTACTACAATGACAGTTGCTCTTATGAACCACCAGGTGGCAGAATTAGAACATGATCTAGTGATTCATCTAAACTTTAGTTCCTCTATCTAATGTGTGATAGACTTGATGATGTCAAATGCTGACAACCAATTCATCTATAAAAATAAATCCCACTGGTTGACCTGTAAAGAAGCTGCTGAGAAGACTGACAAGTTAAAACCCATATTATATATTTATTGTATCTGGAGTTGAGGAGAAGCTCTCTGCAGAAAACCATCCAAACAAGTGAGTCCAGACTAACCTCGCTCCTCCTGGCTTGGTTTTCCTTTTTGGGGGTGAGTGAGGAATGTGTGTAAATATTATGAACTTCTGTGACTCTGCTACGTCAAGCAGACTCACCTGACAAGTCCCAGAATGCTCCAGTGAGAGTCCAACACAAACACCCGTTTAGCAAAGCTTACAGCAGTGCCTTCGCGTTTCTCCGGTTAGAAGGAGGAGTAAGGAGACGACCACTGCTTTGCATTGACTTCTTCTTAGGATGACATGCAATGAGTCTTTGTATGCGGGGAACTGTGCAGGTACGCGTCTGCTGGGCAATTGCATTAGCCAAACCGATTATATGGTGGTTTTTAGTTTTTCTTGACTTGGCTTTTCCTTTTGAATGATAGCGCCATCCTGAGAAACACAAGAGAAGTGATGCTTTTGTTAATGTGAAGAAACTCTTCTCCATATAATGCTTTTGCGTTGTTCCCCATTGTGTAGTTTTGTTCCATGGTCCTCTTGCTTGGAGCGAATGTGTCTGCAGGGGCTCCAGTATTTTTCCCCCCGATGGTTTTTGTTTAACCTGCAGGTTCCTTCTGTCCAACTCCTCCAGCTCATGACCTTTGGCTTCTTCCTGTGTGCGGACGCCTTCCTGTACGTCTTCACCCTGCTGCCCCTCAGGGTGCTGCTGGCCGTACTCCGCCTCCTCACGCTGCCATGCTGCGGCTTCAGGTCAGCCTGAAAACACACACACAGCAGCTTTTCTTTAAAACCGGTTTTTCTCTTGCCAGGATCATGTAACTTTTGTCTTTTTTTGTCTGTCTTTTTTCAAAATGGACTCATTAGCAGGACTTTAGGCTTTATTAATGTCTCCAAAGTATTGTAATTAAGTGGAACTTTGAGGTAATAGTTCTCCTTCACTATAGATCAACTCATAAACGAGGATGTTTTATTTGAGGTCAAGATACCCAGCAGTATGTAAAGTCATTAAAGTTCCCCCCGCCTTCACCAGCTGCATCACTGAAGGGATAAGGCATAAATGCATCACTAATGGTATTTAGTGATGTAACGTTTATGGTTCTGCACAATATTTACTTCTGGTACTTTAAGTAGGTAATTGTTCAAACTATTGTTCAAATCTACTTCACTAGAAGATCTGCAAGCAGTGCAGTGAACGTATTCATACCACCTCCAACCCCCCGCTTCCTCCTTCCTCACCCCTCCCTCCTCATCCCCCACCCCCTGATCTCACTCTCTGTCTGAATCCCCCTCCCTGCAGGGCACGCACATGCCCGTACTGCAGAAGAAGCAGGTATGCTCCCCAAAGCTCGTGAAGGCTTCATAAATGTTCCCACTGGCCTCCTCGTCCATCCACCCGCCTCTCCTCGTCTCCCTTTGTGTATTGTTGATGTACAGCTCGGCGCCTCGCGATCTGTTTCCATTCTCCGAGCCACAGCAGCCCTGTTGGTTCCACATAAGTCCGGCCTTGTTGTTGTTGTTTACGCTCATCCAGGGAAGGTGTGCCGAAGGTGCATGTTCATTCTCATCACGCAGCAGGCTGCAGGTGCTCAAACGGGAGGGCTGGCTCACTGTACGGCTCCTCTGGAGCAGTTGGGGCCTCGTTTGTCTTTAAGTCAGCTGTGTTTGAGCAACAACAAAACATATCCACCTTCCCTGCTGACATTTCCCTCAGCTGCTCTGCAGGTAACACAAGGGTTTGTGTTTAAATCTGGCGGTGTGCTCCCTAACGGCGTGTGAATGGCTACTTGGAATGCAGCACACGGCTGACTGCACTGAATCATGCATCCCGTTCATGTGTTTCATGGAGATAATGCTCGGAGCGAGATAGTGGAGCAGCAGCTTTGCCTCCAGGGAGCCGTGTGTGTCGCACAGGTTTTTTGATAAGATGCAACTGTCTGAATACACTGTGCACGTTTTTAAGACCAGTGAAAAGCTGTCAATTTATTGTATTTCTTTAGAAGGATGGCTGAAATTTAACCCAACAACAATCAATTGTTTTGCACAAGTAAATAAGAAATCTGAAGACAAACTCTTAGCATTAGGTCAATTTATCTTTTATAGACAAACAATTATTTGTATAAAAGCACTTAGTGGAAATATATTCCATTTGGAGAAAACTAAATTCATAAATAGATCATGTATAGGAGCCCTGAACCTTTCTACTTGAACAACTACATTGAGCCACCGGATGGCGCTGCAGCTTCAGGAAAACGACCCCGGAGAAATCTTAAGTATCACGAAGGCGCTTTGGTGTTATGTTTGAACAGTTCAATCTGAATCTCCATCTGTTGTTACACGTTAAGATAGTGTTAACGGCGTTTTTCGCCTCATCAATGTGATGTTCTCCTCACAGCTGCTCCCGATTCAGACGACACTTGATTTCAGCTCGTCTGCACCTCTTCCCCGACTCCGGCCATCGGCCATCTCCCTCGTCTCTCTCTGCTCGCCTCCTAAAATAGCTTCACACCCCGAAGGCCTCTTTGCTTGTGTCGTAAACATGATTTTCTGTTCCTCGTGTTTTTAAAAGAGCGTAACGTGGTGAGGAGGAGTAACCCCCCCCCCCCCCCACACTCCCCACCCCCTTGTTGTGATGCATCCAAACCAACAGGCGCGAAAGTTAATGAAGGTAATGCTGCCTGTTAGAGGAGCTCATCCTTGTCCTGCCGTGTCTGCCGCTGTAGTCATTTAGTCTGTGTGTAAGTATTAGTTTGTGTGTCTGCAGTGAATCCGTGGCCGTGCTGTCGCATAGAGCGAGACCACAATGTGTGGACACGCTGACGTTGGGATTCCAGAGTGGATGAAACCTTCTTCTCGCTTGAGCTCGTGTTCGATGTGGACATTGAGTCCAATTCACACAGCTGACATGTGAAATATGCAGGATGTCTTGGGGCTAATCTCTCCCCCCCCTCCCCTCCTCTCGCTGGTTATCCCTTGTCATAGTAAATACCAAATAACTGCTGCTATGGATTTGTCAGCCCTCCTCTTAACGCGCCCTCGAGTTTCCACTGCCAACCGTTGCTACAAGCGATGAAAGCTGCATGTGTTTTGAGCGCGTTCTTACCCGTCATCAGACAGCTTAGCCTGTGTCCTCTTCCCAACACCTCCTTTAAACATTTCTGTCCAAAATGCTGCACCCCAGGGTGACCTTTTTGGAGCGCGCTCTATGTAGACGGACTCGGAGGCAGCGGACCGCCGGCCTTCTGCTGCTCGTCATCCCGTATCTCTGACCACGGACTAATGAAGGCAATAAAAGCCCTAAAAACCCAAAAGCCACATGGGAATGTTTCCATAAAGAGACCCATGGATGTTTGTCTGTTCGGTAGCTTAGAACAAAGGATTATGTATTTTCATAAGACGCACAGGACAAAACATATTAAGGAGCTGAATGTTATTAATGAGATAACGTCTCCTATAAAGCAGATGCAAACTTAATATTGTCTTTGTCTGTGTCTTACCCGCCTTGCCTTTTATGTGGGGTATCTCATTTTGAACAGAAATGAATTATTTACCCCTCCATGTTTCTTTAATGTGTTCTTGCATGGTATGAACAGAGTCTCCATAGCCAGCCAGCTCAAAATGTGTCTTTGTCCTCTCACAAATGTTACATCGGGGAAGAAACTCTGGCAAAATAATGACCCAATGCTTATTGTCCCCTCATGTTATGCAAATCCACGACTTTAGATATGAACATACTGCACCATCCGCATGCTAGTGTTTCAGGACATGACGGTTTTCCATTTTGATTAAATGTGTTTCTATATTGGCTATAGATACCATGAGTTGATGTGTGTGTGTGTGTGTGTGTGTGTGTGTGTGTGTGTGTGTGTGTGTGTGTGTGTGTGTGTGTGTGTGTGTGTGTGTGTGTGATCAGCGGGTCTCGGCTGCTGCAGCCGGCGCAGGTGTGTGATCAGCGGGTCTCGGCTGCTGCAGCCGGCGCAGGTGTGTGACGTGCTGAAGGGTCTGATCATGGTGCTGTGCTTCTCCATGATGCATTATGTCGACTACTCCATGATGTACCACCTGATCAGAGGACAGTCCGTCATCAAACTCTACATCATCTACAACATGTTGGAGGTACCTCACGCTCACTGCAGACCTTACTCCTTTCCCTCAGCACTGGGACACCTACGTTAACTAAAACATACTTGGTGAGCCAGATAGTTTTAGAAGATATTGTCCTGAAGTCACAGAATGATTACCCTGCGCAGTACACCATGGCTCTTGAAATTGAAAGAATGCTCTGGGTGAAAGATTTTGATCCCCTCTCCTCTGTAGGTGGCTGACCGCCTCTTCTCCTCCTTCGGTCAGGACATCCTGGACGCTCTGTACTGGACAGCCACAGAACCCAAAGAGCGAAAACGGGACAGCATAGGAGTCATTCCTCACTTCCTGATGGCCGTCTTCTACGTCTGTATCCTTTGGGTTTGAAGCCCTTGATATCGCTTTGAGACTTTTCAGACTTTTATTTAGTTAATCTTTTATTTCTGCAGCGAGGGCCTTTTTGTATTATTTCGATTTGGTGGTTTTTAATGGTTTTAACTGTAGCTACCGGGGATGCGATTCCAATACGTTTCAGCTCCATAGGGAGGCTGTCTGTCTGACTAGTAAGATGTATATTTGGAATCCTGTGTTGATGGAGTGGTATTTAGTGCTGAAAGGATTCATGAATCCGTTGTTCCCCTGAGTGGCTTCTCCTCAGTCCTCCATGCTATCCTCATCATGGTCCAAGCCTCCACCCTCAACGTGGCCTTCAACTCGCACAATAAGTCCCTGCTCACCATCATGATGTCCAACAACGTCAGTGCGCACACACACACACACAAACATATACTTGGTACAGATGACAACAAGCTGCCTGATTTAACTTCAGTACTCCAGACATAACACTGTAACGTTAATGTTACAGCTGTAACATGTTTGGTTTTCCTGGATCATAAAAGCTGATGACTTAGTAGCTGATGTCTTTCTTTGTTCTTCTGATTTCTCCATCACAGTTTGTGGAGATTAAAGGAAGTGTGTTCAAGAAATTTGAGAAGAACAACTTATTTCAAATGTCCAACAGTGGTAAGATGTTCAACATCCTATCACCCATTTTAATTATTGAATAACGTAATTTAGTCTGACAAAGTGAAATCTTCAGCGTGGACCTAACAGCGTTTAAATGTCCTGTGGTCAGAATACAGTAAAAGGGACTCATTTCTGACTTTTTATCTCACCCTTTTCTGTTGAATCTGGCGGAGGGGAATGTCGCGGAGGTTATGGTGCCTCTTGACCAAGTAGCTCCAGAGTTTAATCCCAAATGTGTTCGTTTTCTCTTGCAGACATCAAGGAACGTTTCACCAGCTACGTTCTCCTGCTCATCGTGTGCCTCAGGAACATGGAGCAGTTCTCATGGAACCCAGGTAATCATCCTGCACTTTAGTGGATTCATATTCTTGTTCATCTCCACCAGTGGCAGCTTTGTCCATTTCAAAAGCCGAACGTTAGAAAACCCGGCCAGCAGCGTCTTTCCTGCTGTTTTGTTTTTTCTTGACCCGCTGCAACTCCTCGGGGAGTTTGTTCTCTCCATTGAGGGAGCAGAGCGCATGATGAGCGCTGGGTGTTCCTGCGTGACAGGCGCCTGAAAGCGCCGCGTCCGTCAGCACGCAATGGATGACAGACGCGGCCCGTCAGCTGGGATCAAAACACTGATGTGTTAATACTGGCAGCGCTGCAGCCTTCTGTTGCTAAAGAGGCGTACACGTCACAAGGGGCCTTTAATTGACTTCCACGGTGCATCAGCGGGGGCGGAGCCTCTTTAGTTTACATTAAACAGAAAGCGCCTAAGTGGCTAACGAGAGGCAAAATCTGTTTTGTTCATTAGGGATTTCAGAGTTTGGCAACTTGAAGTCAAATATTAGATGTAATCACAGATTATATTAAGCAGACTGCATAGTGATGGTAAAGAAATATATGTATTTCCATGGCATTTGCATGAAGTCATTCAAATCTTATTTGAAATATTTACAAATCAATGAGACTCTTCGTTTTCTTGCTTGCAAATTTCTGCAGAACTTGGAGGTTGTGTCAATATTGAACCTCACCTTAGAATATGTCAGGATTTGTCTGTGAACACAATCAAGTACAGCTGATAAAAGTGGTCAACAGAGCAAACTGGGGTGTTGTGGGGAGAAGTTTGCCGAGTACATAAATATGATTACACAACGATTTACATGAACCTCACGTGACCTTTTTCTTTCCCCAGACCACCTGTGGGTGCTGTTCCCCGACGTCTTCATGGTCGTCACCTCCGAAGTCGCCGTGGACATCATCAAGCACGCCTTCATCACCAAATTCAACGACATCACTGCAGAAGTATGGACTCAACTGGATTTCTTTTTTATAATCCTCTATAATATAATGACCACTCTTAACAGTTCACGCTCCGCACTTGTGTAATAGGTGGCTGCATGTTTTTCTTCAATCAAGACTCACACATTCTATTCTGCGGCCCGTCTCTCCTTCAGGTGTACAGCGAATACAGAGCCAGTTTGGCTTTTGATCTCGTCAGCAGTCGGCAGAAGAATGTAAGCGACGCCTCATTATCCTTCGGTAAACGGCACTGAGCCGATGAATGGCGCTTTGTCGAGTGCCGTAACGTGTGCTTGTCCGTCGCTGTGTAGGCCTGCACGGACTACAGCGACTCGGTGGCCCGGAGGATGGGCTTCATCCCTCTGCCTCTGGCTGTCCTGGTAAGAGAGGCCCCTCTATTCAGTCCCTGAATACCAGCAGAAACATTGTTAACTACACAATGTTAACTACACAATGTTAACTACACAATGTCGGCCACATCTTCCGGCACACTCGTGCATGCTGCCATGTTTGTTGTTGATGATCCACTTCTGCTGCCTTTTAATGTTTCATCAGCTCATCCGCGTGGTAATGACTTCGGTGAAGGTGCAGGGAGCCCTCTCATACTCGTGCGTGTTCCTCTGTTATCTTGGGTAAGTCAATCACACATTACCGTTATTACACAACGTTATAAAAAATTGTCCTGTTGTGCATTTAGAACTCATTTCTTAATCTGACTGCAACGAGCAATCTGTTAGCTCTCTGGTTTTTGCCTGTTTTTCCCTCTTCTTGTTGAAGCTCAAAGCATCGAGATGTAAAGTCTTGCTTCGCTACACACAGACACGCGCGGTTACATAAGTAACGGCACCGCGCTGCCGATCGCCCCGCTCGCTCCCGTCCGCCGGGTCCCATCGGGCTCGTACCGACCAAGAGTTTCCCCCGGGGAATAATACAATGTTGTCATCTCTGCCCCCTCCCCCTCCACCCCCTGATTTAAAAATAACTCTGGCTCCAACGTACCGCTGGGCCTTGGCAAAGACTGTCTCTGACTCTGCTGACACGTGCTCAGTCCGACACACCCAAATGTGTCCGTCTCTCTTATGTCACGTTGTCAGAGGTCGGGCCTCGTAGGACAGCATGGGAACAAAGAAGGACGGTACGCGTCGACCTCCCGCTGTCAACCCGTAGCGCAGCTTCTATAACCGCAAAAGAGAGGTGCAATAGGATGCTAAGTAAGGACCAAATGGTTAATACGGCACATGTTAATGTTTACTCCCATGACCTATACCAAATTATCGGTTCATCTTGGTGCCGAATCGACCAAACCGATATGCAAAATGAGGTCACATCAGTGCTTTTATTCATCCAACAAAGTAAGGTTCAACTGTCAACACTCAAGTTAGTGTTTGATCTACTAATTCCTAAGAGAGTGCAGCTCTCTAATCCGCAGCCGTCTCATCCGCAGGCTGGTTACCCTTAAAGTGTTGAACAGCATCGTGCTGCTGGGGAAGTCGTGTGTCTACGTGAAGAGGGCCAACATGGAGGACAAACTGTTTGAGACGCCCTCCGCCGCTCCGCCTTCCACTGGGAAAGGACCCAGCAGAGCTGACCAGGCGCGATGCCCCACACCTTCAGGTACACCACAGACTACTCGAATGGTCACCATGGAAACGGCAACCCGTGCAGTACGTCGCCTACATGCAGAACTCATTCATCTCGTGTCCATGGGCAATGAAAGTTAAAACCAGTGTTTGCGGAGCTCCTCTTTCCCGCAAAGCCGGGAAACATCAACACAAATGAAGCGTGGAGATTTTAAATAAGCTCATTTTAGAAAAGCTAATAAAAGAAATAGTTACCTCTGTTGAGTAAATTCTGTTCACTCAGACCTCAAGCTGTATTTTGAATGCATAAATGTTTTAACTTCTCTCCAAAAACAAATGCTGGCACATTAGACATTGAGATTTTATTGCACACTCATATCTTGAGCATAAAATATTCAGAGCGCCTCTAGGACCCTTCAGTTGAGTTCATTATGCAGTGTGAACACGACACTTTGGTTTTCGATCGTAGGAGCATAGAAAAATAATTTCAGTTTTTGCAGCGAGTCTACAGGAATGATAGATAATATATCAAGTGCTACTATTTTGAAATTACGCCAAAAGCAGTACTTTGACTGTAAATATTTTACAAATTTGGGCAGTTGTCTCCTTTTCTGGAGACCTGAAAAGACCTGAGAGAGTGAGGCATGCTGGGATTTAATGTTCCTCACTATTGATGTGGTCCAGATCGATCCATTATTAAATTGGCAGAAAACGTTAATGAGCAGCTAGAGTTACGATCAAATACTTTTACTTTCAGCAAAGAGTTCCTAAGCTCAAGAGTATCAATTTGCAGCTCTACTTGTCTCTCTTTTATGTGACATGTCACCTGAGAAGAAACTGGTTTGGTACTGTTGCTCGTCTATTGAGATATATTTTTTTAATACCATTTTTCATTGAAAAGACTAAAACGTCTCTAAATATGTATTTTGGTCAACGGTGAAGGTCACTGAGATGTCGTCGTAGTAGACTGACAAAAACCCAGTTCCAACATTCAAACATTTCCCTCTGAATCTGTTAAGCGGACCCCGCTCCTCCTCATCCTCCTCCGACGCACACTCAGCGTATCGGCCCGTCATCCGCAGCCGAATCCCCGCGGCTCGCTCCTCCGTGCGCATCAGAGCTTTGAGGCGACAGCGATCCCGACGCTGCCGAACCTCAAAGCTCCGACCGGCGCTTTCTCACAAAGCATCCTCGGGGGGGGATTCGAACCAGCCACCTAACAGCACGTTAAGATCGTTCGGTCCGTGCAGCTTCACCTGCTGCTCCAGTGGATTCGCTGCGCCGTTCTGTCCGCATCTGTCTGTCCGGCGTGCGGCTCTCAAAGCCCAGATGCTTGCTCACTTTTATTAAATCTCACACATCTTCCAGAGAGCAAGTCCAGCGGCTGCAGTGAGTCACCTTAATACGATTTCTTCTAAATCTTTTGTAATGTGCACCCTTAAGGACGAATGATACAGCCCGCAAAAGGGTTTAAAGCACTAAAGTTACAAACAAGTTAAAACAAGTTGAACTATTGTTTTCTATTTAAAGGGGGCAGAGAAGAGCAGCGCGGTTTGGAGAATCGTCCGTGATGAAACGCTTGTAGTTGCCCTCATGTTACGTGTACTGTAGTGACGTTGAGAAGCAAAGGGAGACATCGGTTCGTTCACGACCCCAAAATGTCCCTACGCCATGAAAGTAGTGGTTACTTGTTTCATCTAGTGTTTTATTTCACAGCCAAAGACCAACCGTGCAGGTTAGTGAGATGCTTGACGGAATAATGCTAGACTCTGGAGTTCACCTTTTTTATAGTTTTCTTTTGGCTAATTTGAAAACGTTTTGCTTAGAGAGCAAAGAGTGACTGGCCCGTTGCTTGGCCTACGACGTCTGCTCGCATGGCCTCAGGCTTATTTAAAATGTATTTTAGAGCTTCCCTCAGGTACTCTGATCAGTGTGATGCAGTAGCCAAAGCGCCGCAGCTCGGCTGGTTTACCTCTTTGGTAACATCCAAAGTTACTTAAGTCTCTCCAACATGACGACTCATGACGTTTATTTTACAATCAAGTGGAATTATTGAGTCAATTGTGCTTCTTCAAGTTCCATGTCAGCTTTTTGCAGTGCTTTGGACTTGAGCAATCAGGTGTGTGTGTGTGTGTTGGCATGTTGAATGTACTGAACTATAACAAAGAAATAGTAATAAAACTTAAACAATAAAAATGTCCATTTATGTAAAGAATCAACTCCGAGAAAAACTATAGAACGACATAAAAAGCACATTATGTAAACAATGAAAAATCATTCATCATATTTAATTCACAGGTGAAACCCTGATGGAGCAGAAGCCCATCCGACCCTTCAGTCCTCCACCGTCCTCCTCCACCTCCTCCGTCACCACCCAGCCGACCCTCAGGACGGACCTGTTTCCTCCCCCGCCCGCGGAGCCCTGTCCTGCTACTCCAGCCAGCCGTCCCCCGACTCCCCCACCCGAACGACCTGCACCGTCGCTCGCCGAAGCAGCAGCAGCAGCCGAAGGAGAGGAAGAGGAGGAGGAGCCACAAGAAGCCTCCGACCTAAAGCACAGGACTCCCAATGAAGACCTGCTGGAGATCGACCGCTTCACCATCTGTGGGAACCGCATCGACTGACGCAGCCCTGAAAAGGCGCTCTGGAGAGCCGGAGAGCCACAAGCTCCTCCACCCAACGGCAGCAGAGAGACGAGTATTTATTGAAGTCAGAGGCGACACAGTAAGTTACTGTGAGCACAGACGATGGACGACTGAAGGTTTGACAAAAGAGAACTCTGCAGAGACGGTGGAGCTCTGTCCTCAGGAGGAAATGTCCCTCCGTGTGAGTGTGAGTGTGTGTGTGTGTGTGTGCGTGCATATGTGAGGGCACACAAGCACTTCCTGTCTGAGCGCCACTGTCACCAGAAAGAGAAACTTCTCAGTTCGCTCAGTAGCCGGAAAACAAATCCTCTTTACACTAAAAAACCTGACTCATTTTTATTTCCTTTTTTACATGATTTAAAAAATAAATGTTAATGTTCATTTTATGAAATATCTGCTCTTCACGTCCTTTTTAATCCTGCAGTGGTTTCTTCAACACGTCAGCTCAGCGAATGTCAATCCGTCAACACGGGCTCGGGGACATGGGGGGTCATGTGTAGTCAGACGAGACTTTTACTTTTCAGCTTCTCAAATTAAAACGGAAAAGAAAAAAGACGAGACATTAGCACACGGCAGCGACGGCGCAGCTGACAAACAGAAGGGCGATTGTGTGGGAGGCGACTGCTCCAGTCTCTCCTCAGCTAAACTAAAGTCTGCTAGCAGAGTCAGACTTTTCATCATGTGTCCAGTTACGGACGTGACTTTTAGTTCACGCAGTCGTTGTGTTGTTGAAATGATTTTCCCATTTTGAATTTCTTTAAGTAAACACAAGTTTTGCACTGATGGACCGCGTTGTCTTACTAAACACGACGGGTCACGTTTCTGATTCAACCTCCAGTTAATGTTCTAATGTTTACATCTTAGAAAATGGAAGCAATATTTCCCCAAATTACAACAATGCCTCTTTTTTGTTTTGTTTTTTAAATTATGTTGACTGAACTTGTAAAATCGTTTGCCATGATTGAAATATTTTTTTATTGCAATAAAATCAATAAATGTATCAATACAATGTGTTATGGATCAGATACATCTGTCCGTACTGGTGCATTGTTATTTTACAGCAATTACATTCTGCAGAATTATGAAGACTGGTTAATGTAAAAAAAGCTCCCCGTCAGTCCAGGTGTGTCCAGATGTGTGTGCCGTGTCAATGACACAATCACACACGTGACGAATGGAGTGGAGCCTCGAGTTGAAGGACACATCTACAGTTTCGTAGACGTTCCTTCATTTTATTGTGTTAAAACTTGTCTTTGTTTTTTTTTAAACTAAATGAATCTATAATCATATCATATAAACTTCACATTAAAGCTCACAGGGTCTTTTTCAGATCATTTATTTCAATGCCGCTGCCCGTAAGTGAAGCTTTACGCCATCGGTGACATCACTGCTGCGAGTATCTGGGGTCAAAGGTCAGATAAGTCTGCAGCAGACACTCTCCGAGGACTAACAGGAGGATGTCTGAAGGCAGGACGACGGTAGGAAGAGGAGCAGGAGGACATGGAGGAGCTGGACAGGGTCCAGAAGGACAGACAACCTTTGAAGACCACATGATGATGATGATGATGATGAATTCTGAGACGAGGCTTCGACGTGAAATAACCGACTGGAGGAGAGGAAGAGATCAGCAGCATTCAAGAAGAGCGAGAACACTTTGATGTTACGTTCGTATAATTACAAACCAAAAAGTAACTCCAATTAAAAAAAATAAAAATGTATTCACTCATTTGTCCTTTCTACCTAAATGCTCCATCGCTGCTCTCTTGTTCCCCACGTTTTTAAATACTTGAAGTTGATCAAAGGTCCGCGAACAGGAGGCCCCCGTCCCTCCAAGGGTGCGCGGGGGCCCATGTGAGGACAAGCGCGCCATTGTGCGAAGAGACAAAAGCTGAGCCCACCTGATCGCCGCCTCCCCCCCAACAACCTCCCCACTCTCCCCCCTCTGGGTATCCTCTGTCTGCCCTTAGGGAGGAAGAGAGGCAAGTGTTTCCAAAGGTGGAGCACAGAGAAGCCTTGTTTTTCAACCTAATTACAGCCAGAAGAATGAGGATGAAGTACACGATTTCCCTCTGAGACGTACCGCAGTGGAAGTACTGCACGGAGAAGTGGATCAAAGGTCCACGAACAGGAGGCCCCCGTCCCTCCAAGGGTGCGCGGGGGCCCATGTGAGGACAAGCGGTTGGTACAACGGTTGGTCGAAAGTACATTCAACTCTAGAACTGCACTCCAGGACAATCGTATCGCCATTTGGTGCCACTTTATAGTTCATCTCGTCTACATTTCAGCTTTAATAAGTAGAGTAAGTGACGTCACCCCGTAGTTCCATTCCACTGCTGCACGTTTCTCTGTGAGATGTTAAGACACGAGATGAGCACCAGCCTTCTCTGCCCGGCAGGAGGAGCGCTTCCCCTCTGGACCCCCCCCCCTCTCTGCGCGCTCCCGTGACGCAGCGCGGCCCCGCGCGCACTGATGCTGGATGCTGGCGCGGAAGCGACAGGCGCGCTCATCTCGCTGGTGACTGAAGGCATCGCCGAGCGGAGAAGATCCTCCAGGTTAACGTCCGTCTGAAAGCCTTCGGACCGGTACGATGCTCCGACCGAGTCTCCGCGCGGCCGCCAGGACTTGAGGAGCGACCCGGTCCGTCCACAGGGACACTTTTTATTTATTTTATTTTTCGAGTGTAGAAAGAGAAGAACCCTGCCCGGTCATCCCGCAGCTCTCTGGCCGTCTGACCCCAGTGTTTTCACGGCGGAGTCCGTCGGCGTCCCCTCGGCGCGATGTGGAACACCGGGACCGCGCCGCCGCCGCCGCTGCTGCTGCTGCTGCCGCTGCTGCTGTGCGTGCTCGCGGCGTCCGGTGAACTCCAACAGGAGACGGAGCCGCGGAGACTCCCGCCGCCCGGAAAGTTGGATTTCGGTTACGTGCCTGCGGGAGTTTACGAGACTCTGGCCCATTACGAACCGGGGCCGATCGGCATCCTGTTCCACTTGGTGCGCGCCTTTCTCTGCGTGGTGCAACCCAACGCGTTCCCGCAAGGTAAGCGCCCCCCACCCGGGGGAGACGTCTGTGAGCCGCCACTTATGGAAACATTTAATCGGCGCCGCTGCAACTGTTGCTACAGTTCCTCCACCCGACCTCCACCCTGTGCGCGTCGAATCAGTTCTCACGCGTGGTTGTGAACGAACGGCGCGTCGCGCCCCTGCGCGTTGTTTTGCGCTTCTGGTGGTGCTGTGTCACCATCACTACACGTAATGAAGCCCCACGTGCTGCCGGTTTGAAAACTGAATCTTTGTGTACGAATGAAGGTTTGCCCCCATCACCCGTACACGCACGCACGCACGCACACGCACGAGCGGTGCGTCTTTAATTGGGTGTGGGACGCACTGAAGACGCGCCTCCTCTCCGCGCATCACGGCCTGTGTCCATCCACTCCTTTGGAGATTAGCAGCTCTCTGAGTCACCTTGTTAATTGACTAATCCCATAAGCCATTGCTCCATATGTTGTTGGCCTTTTAGATTCCCAGTTTTCACCAGAGCTCGGGGGGCCTGAGCCCCCCCCCCCCCCCCCCTCCCTGCTGGTCAGCTCTAGTTTCCCACTTTGCTTTGATTAGAACGCGTTATTGTTTTGGGCTTCATCACAATCTCGTTGGTACAAAAGCCAAATGTGTCATTATGTTGATATCTTTTATTATCTTAATTTTTGTTCATTCTATAGAGATACAAGACATCCCGGAGGGACATCTGCAGCTGATCAACCAAACGCTCAATAATCCACCGATGCTGAAGTAAAATAATGAAAGAAAGAAAACCAAAATCAGATTCAAATCAATCAAATCCAGAATCAAATTCCTGAACTGATTTTTGAGTTTTGATGACGTTTTGTAACCGTAGAAACAACTGTGATCACATCGTGACATTTTACTCGTTATTGTCACGTCTCCAACCGACGCCCACGCCGAGCTCAGCGACAATGACTCGTTCCCTTTTACCGATTGTTGCAAACAAACCTACCCACAATGCCTCTCTCCCCCCCACCTGCATGCAGCTGCTAATTGCCCAAACAGATGTTCAGGCCCATTAGCCCTTTCCAGCCATGAAACACGACACTTTGCAGACAGTGATGTTTTTTTTTCTTGACTAAATGTTGTTGTTTCAGTCTTTGTAGGTTGCACATCTGGATCCGTCCGGTTTGACTTGGAGGGGTCGAGTTTACTGCGTTTGGCTCAAGGACTCTTCAGCAGAAAACATTGCGTTAGACGTCGGTCACCTTTAGCTAAATTTAAAGGCTTCATCCTCCACTCTTTTGTTTTACTGAGTCCATCAATTCGTCTGCCGGAGAGGCGCGTCAGGCCGGTATCGCTCCACGCCGCCGTCGCACAGCAGATCCCCCCCCCACAGCACAGATGCATGATGGGGCTTTGGTGGCGGTCAGTGAAAGACACGTGAACATTATAAAGAATCTGAAGAGGAACCCTGGAGATCGAAGCTCTACGATGCGCATCCGGTGTTTAGAAGACCTTTTGCATTGATGCCTTTCATGTTTGAGGAATTTACACAAAACTCCGGTTTGTTAAAGAATCCCAACAATGGCACACGATTTTGTCCTCCAACTTAGGGCATCACGGCGTAATTTGACTAATAATCTTTTGCAAAAGCCCACTAACACCCATTTAGCCCGTTACACCAAAGAGCCGAATGACGAGCCTGCACACGGCGCCTTTCGGGGGGTTCGGGGGTCGTTTGGGAGGCTGCGGGCGCCACGACAGCGAGCATCTGCTCTGCTGACGCGTCCTTGAGCAACGCGCCGATGCTGACGGTGCACGTTAACGTCTCGGAGGAGGACGGTGGGGGGGGCCTTTCCAGTCGGGGGGTTCAGTCGGTTCCAAACATTCCCCTCATTAGAGATTTATTGGGCAGCGAGCAGGTGAACGTGTGGAGATTAACATCAGAGGCTGTGATGATCCCCAGAAAGGGCTTTGCATTCGCAATCGTAATTTCTGGCAGAGCTGAATCGTTTACCCGCTTATTTGAACCCGAAAACAAGCAGGTAGCAATGACCTGCAGAACCACACGCTATGGTCAGCGGGTGTCTTTATATTCCCACCAACGCCGCCCCTCGTCTACATGTGAGACACTTCCAAACAATTATTGAAATATAGATCCATTCATTGACGATAACGGATTTGGAAGAAACTTTAGGGGAACGATCACAGTTTGGGTTTCATTTTCTCCGTCGTCATGGTTACAACCATGAGGGTCATTGGCAACATAAAGCAACATTGTCAGTGGGAACAAAGCTCCCTCCTACGACAGTCGTGCTTTTTGAAACAAAAACAGTGTCAACGCATATTTCATTTTCCCATCAGTCTCCGCACATGAATCATATTTACTTACTCATTAACTGCAAAACCGTGATGGGATCTAACCAACCAGACGTTACTGACACGTGTAATACGGACAAACCACGCGCATGTCATTAGTAATCCCAGCAAACCGGCCCCTCTATAAATAAGCCGATTATGGATGCTGCATCCTCACTAGCGTGACCCGGTCAGGCTGCAGCAGCGTCGTGGCGACACAGAGAATGATGACCGAGGCGCGTTTTGTTTTGAAGCCGTCACACGCACTCACGTCACCGCTCTGGCGGCGAGGACCCTCGGGCCCCCCGCCATCCGGTTCCGCCATCAGGTTCCGCCACATAATGCCGGCTGATCAGACCAGAGGCGAAGCATCACCAGTAAGGACAGAGGTGGAAACGTGCAGAAGCGACACACATGATCTTATTCACAGGGATTTCATTTTTTCTACATCATGTAATACTTTTCTCTTTTTCCATCTTTGTCGTGGTACTCGTGATTTTGTATACTATCGTTTTTTCCATCATGTGTTTGTATTAATAATTTGCCAGACATTAAATTAAACATTAAACCAGGCAGAATTAAAATGAATTCATCTTAATACATAGAGTGACCAAGAAAATTATCTGTAGTATCGCGTTTTAGAATGAATGTGACGCATTTGTCTGTTAAAGGGGAGGAAGACGCTCCTCGGAGGGGTTTCTAGCAGGTTGAAGGATACGCGGCTTCGTTCGCGTTGGAGCCGCAGCCGCTTGAGCTTTTGTGGGAGGAGATCACGCTGCATAATCACAACACAAAAAGAAACATTTTACCGCCGCTTTAATTCCTCGCCTGCAGCGACAGTTTGAAAAGACACCGAAATGGCCCTCGGCTGCGTGTTGTTGCTCCTGAAATGGATCCACGCATCTTGGATTTAGTCTCCCTGAAGGCTCAGCCCTGTAAATGAGGCGCCTCAGTATGAAAAATGTATATCCAGTCATTTAAATCATAGAAAACACTTAACAATCCCGAGACCACCTGATGATCGATTATCGTTCCCTAAAACACACACATGCATGTAATGAAAGATGTGGATTTGATGAAGGAGACAACTGAGGATCACTAAGTTTCATTAAGGACAAACGATCCTGCTACCAAACACCGTGTTTCCCAGGTCAATTAACGAGTAGATAATCGCGGTTCATTTATTAAGCAGTTACAGTCTATTATGTTTCCTCGAGTCACTGTGAAATCCCTCTGATCGCCTCAACAGAGCGAGGACGTGATCCATCAGCTGCTCTCAGCCGGCCCTCTCAATGTTGTGTCCCTCAAGAATCACGTTGAAAGGAGTATATTTCATTTTTCCCATTTGTGATGGGAGGGCTTTCTTCCCGAGCTTAAGATTTACGAAGACGGAGACAAATTGTTGAATTCAAGCAGCAGCACCATCACAATGTGTTTTACGACGCACGTGAACAGTGGAAGACGTTTTATATCAGCAGATTGTAGGGGTGTAACGATTCATTCCAACAACGACTCGATTCATGGACGATCTGGGTTAATTTAGAACGATTCGATTCGATTCGATTCAGTGACTTTACTGGACAGTGCAGGCAAAGTTTCTGAGATCCCAGTTGTTTCTTGTAAGGAAATCAGGTTTAAATTAATTATGGATATTATAAACAAGCAAACAACAATTAATGGCAAATGTATTAACCTTTTATTTGAATCAAGTGCCATTTTCAATGTAAACATTACACAATAATTACACAATGTTTGGATCAATCCACAGAACCCCGGATGTTCAACCACATTGTAGGGTCGCATGTTTTTACAGATAAACTTGTTGCTGTGATGTTGAGTTTGGTGCTGGCGGCCTGAGGCGTCTGCAGAGCTGAGTTACCTGCTGCTGCTGCAGCGGTGACGCTGCTGGAGGTCCTGACTGTCGCCGTTGTTTAATCCCACGCTGCCTTAGTAGACGGCCGGAAAGATTCGTCGTGTTTCTGTGGTTTTTGATTTGTCTTCTACATATTCTACAAACAGCGACCGACTTATTTAGAACACCTCCGTGTTTGCAAAAGCCAAAATGTTTCCACGCGCTGGATCGATAAGTTGGTTTGTAAATGTCTCGCTCGCAGTCGTCTCCTCCACGCTGTGTGTTGTTGTTGTTCAGTTTCGCGCGGCGGCCGCTGCGTACTGATGACGTCACAGACAGGCAGACTGAATCCAGTAACGTTTAACGTGTCTAAAGTGCTAAAAAACAGACAAACAAACACACATTCACGTCGTTTTTGTACTTAAATCCAATGTGTAGTTTCCAAGTATCGATTATGTACCATTTCAATCGATTTGTAATCGATATATGTCGTCCGGAATGCCGATTTGCGGAGCACAGATAGATTCAGTTGGATCGCAGGAATATAAATCGATTAATCGATTGGGTGAATGAATCGTTACACCCCTAGTTGGTTGATGTGTATTCATCTCATCCAGACAGATCGCTTCGCCAAGCGCCGGCGTATCAGCCGGACTAGTGAGGCCAGATAAGAGCTGCAGCATTAAGCGCAAAGTTTGAGACATTTCAAGGTAATTTCATAACGCCGCCGTTAGCTTAAGCTCCAGGCTATCAGCGGCCCGGCGGAGGGCGGAAGCGCAGGTGGAGGCGAAGAATCAAAAGATCGCTGGAGCGAGAAAGGCTGC